GTAACTATCATGCAGTGTAGTGTAGCAACACACTGTGGGTGTTCCCACTATGTAACTATCATGCAGTATAGTGTAGCAACACACTGTGGGTGTTCCCACTATGTAACTATCATGCAGTATAGTGTAGCAACACACTGTGGGTGTTCCCACTATGTAACTATCATGCAGTATAGTGTAGCAACACACTATGGGTGTTCCCACTGTTTAACTATCATGCAGTATAGTGTAGCAACACACTGTGGGTGTTCCCACTATGTAACTATCATGCAGTATAGTGTAGCAAAACACTGTGGGTGTTCCCACTATGTAACTATCATGCAGTATAGTGTAGCAAAGCACTGTGGGTGTTCCCACTATGTAACTATTATGCAGTATAGTGTAGCAACACACTGTGGGTGTTCCCACTATGTAACTATCATGCAGTATAGTGTAGCAACACACTGTGAGTGTTCCCACTATAACTATCATGCAGTATAGTGTAGCAACACACTGTGAGTGTTCCCACTATGTAACTATCATGCAGTATAGTGTAGCAACACACTGTGAGTGTTCCCACTATAACTATCATGCAGTATAGTGTAGCAGCACACTGTGAGTGTTCCCACTATGTTACTATCATGCAGTATAGTGTAGCAACACACTGTGAGTGTTCCCACTATGTAACTATCATGCAGTATAGTGTAGCAGCACACTCTGAGTGTTCGCACTATGTAACTATCATGCAGTATAGTGTAGCAACACACTGCGAGTGTTCCCACTATGTAACTATCATGCAGTATAGTGTAGCAGCACACTGTGAGTGTTCCCACTATGTTACTATCATGCAGTATAGTGTAGCAGCACACTGTGAGTGTTCTCACTATGTTACTATCATGCAGTATAGTGTAGCAACACACTGTGAGTGTTCCCACTATGTAACTATCATGCAGTAATAGTGTAGCAACACACTGTGAGTGTTCCCACTATGTAACTATCATGCAGTATAGTGTAGCAACACACTGTGGGTGTTCCCACTATGTAACTATCATGCAGTATAGTGTAGCAACACACTGTGAGTGTTCCCACTATGTAACTATCATGCAGTATAGTGTAGCAACACACTGTGAGTGTTCCCACTATGTAACTATCATGCAGTATAGTGTAGCAACACACTGTGAGTGTTCCCACTATGTAACTATCATGCAGTATAGTGTAGCAGCACACTGTGAGTGTTCCCACTATGTTACTATCATGCAGTATAGTGTAGCAACACACTGTGAGTGTTCCCACTATGTAACTATCATGCAGTATAGTGTAGCAACACACTGTGAGTGTTCCCACTATGTAACTATCAAGCATATAGTGTAGCACACACTGTGAGTGTTCCCACTATGTTACTATCATGCTGTATAGTGTAGCAGCACACTGTGAGTGTTCCCACTATGTAACTATCATGCAGTATAGTGTAGCAGCACACTGTGGGTGTTCCCACTATGTAACTATCATGCAGTATAGTGTAGCAACACACTGTGAGTGTTCCCACTATGTAACTATCATGCAGTATAGTGTAGCAGCACACTGTGAGTGTTCCCACTATGTAACTATCATGCAGTATAGTGTAGCAGCACACTGCAGGTATATCTAAGTTTAAAAAAATAGTTACAGTGCCTAAGGTCAGACAGGGAAGTCACACGTATGAAACGTCCCTCTGTGCTGGCCGCTCCATGTGTAATATAAAAAATAAATATTGGAAAAAATATTCTCAGATATGTTTGAAAATGGTTCGGCAAGAAATTGTTGGTGGCAAAGTAGGCTGTAGTTAGTAGGAAGAACCCAATTATGGTATACCAGAAATGATGTAGTGTGGAGACCTGACTGCGGCCAACACAAAATATTTTGGTCTTACTAATTTTGAGTAAAAGTAATGTTGAAAAAAAGGTATATTATTAAAAAGAATTTAAAAAATCGGGTAAAAATAATGAACAAGTTAGAAAACTAATTTTGCATGAGTATTTTGACAATAATATTTTGGGAAAATAACGTGAAAAACATAGAGGCAAGATGTAGTAGGGTAACCCAATACACAGTCAGTTATAGTTCTTTTAGCACTGTGTGTAAATGAGAAATTTTGGGTGACTCTTGGGATAAAGCCTATTATTGGAGAAAGCAAAAATACCTGCACTAGGGCACTCTATTGGAAAGATTCTGGGACCCTGGTCACTCCCTACCCTGACCCATTCTACCACACCCTCTAACAACAAACCACACCATACCCCACCTCACCACACCATACTATGGCCCCTCCCCCCTCACCACCACGCCCAGGACCACACTTCAACATACCCTCCCTACCCCCCACCACACCCAGGACCACACTTCAACATACCCTCCCTACCCCCCACCACGCCCAGGACCACACCCTCAAACTAACGGACCAGGCAGGTGCTGCTGATCCTGATTATGAACGCCAAAATAGGACGAGAAAGCTGAGCGTTGTGAACTTTGTTGATGAAGGATGACAGGTCACTGAGTGTGTCTTAGTATCTGAGTGTGTGTCTGAGTGTTTCAGTGAGAGTCGGAGTATCTTGGAGAGTGCTTGATCGTCTTAGAGGGTGTCTAGGTGTCTCAGTGTTTGAATGTCTTCCAAGAGTGTCAAGCTGAGCAAGTGTCTGAGTGTTTTAGTGTCTGAGCGTCTTAAAGAGTGTCTGTCTTAGAGAGAGTGGCTGGCTGAATACTCACATGAGCTACTGGTGCACAATAAACTAGCCACTGAGGAGGCAAATTTAAAGCAATGAAAAAAATAGGACTTTATACATTTAATTTAACCAGAGATGTGGTAAGAAACTTTTATTATTATTATTATTATTATTATTATTATTATTATTATTATTATTATTATATGCACAGCTGCCAACAGGTGTAAAGGTCACGTTCCTGCAGGACAAAGGTCAAGCGGACACACGTGGGGTCCACTCTAACACCTGCTGTTCTCTAACACGATTCTGGCAGATGTTTAAATAGAAGGAAATGTCTGTTACCAGTGATGGTCAGACTGTTACTAGTGATGGTCAGACTGTTACCAGTGATGGTCGGACTGTTACCAGTGATGGTCAGACTGTTACTAGTGATGGTCAGACTGTTACCAGTGATGGTCAGACTGTTACCAGTGATGGTCAGACTGTTACTAGTGATGGTCAGACTGTTACCAGTGATGGTCAGACTGTTACCAGTGATGGTCAGACTGTTACCAGTGATGGTCAGACTGTTACCAGTGATGGTCAGACTGTTACCAGTGATGGAATCAACAAAGCCAAACATGACAGTACATATATGTGCAACTTTATTAAGTCATGTACAGACAGACAAACAGACAGACAGGCAAGCACACAGACAGACATGTAGATAGATAAATAGATAGGTGCATAAATAACCATTCATGACACTTAGTATCAGGAAAGGTCTTTGCTGGTGATCTGTTGAACTTTGCTGCCACTGAACGATTCAAAGATCAGTACCAGGGTGTGGCAATGCCAGGGTGTAACACAGTAACCCACCATAGTGCCAGCAGGCACTATGGTGGGTTACTGAGACACTGCTTGTCACGCCCCACCATGGTGCCGGCACCACTGAACGGCTCGTCTTATGACAGTGATCTGTGTCAGGGGATTCTTACTGAGGAATAAACCAGCAACACCCTAATAATGTGTAATCAGTGCCAGTTCTCCCTGAAGGAAGTGTATGTAGTCCCTTGGTACAGAACGACCGTGGGTAGGCAGATGACTTACGTATGCATGAGAGGGCATGTTCACTGCTCTGAGGAACATCAGTCATCATCTTGCGGTTATGTCTGCTTGGGGCAAGCGATGGTAGGTTATGTTAGCTTCAGAGAGAACACATGATGGTCTCTAGACAGCATGACATTACCACCCAAGCTGGAGTGAGGATGACTAGGAGACTCAACGCTCACTAATGAAGCTGCTTTCCTGGGGTGAAATTTGACTGCAGTGCCTTTGTTGAACCACTTGCTGAATCATGCTAGCAAAACAGCTTAAGAAAACTTACGATATTAAGCCGCAGTTTGTATTTGATAAGCGATGATTGGCTTCATAATTCTATGAGGCACAAGAATGCTCACACCTGGAGCATACAACGCTTTCATGAAGCTGGCCGCCGCTATCCTCCCCCAGTTTCTGGACCTGGTGAACAACTGTACAGGACGACCCAACTCCAGCCTCGATGCTTGTAGGTTGGACCTGACCAGATTATAATTATATTACATGGAGTGTTAAACCCATATGGGTCATTCAGCGGAAGGAGTAATGGAGGCTTCATCCTCTGTCATCTAGGCGTGAGCAGACGCGCGACCTGGTTGTGTTCATCTAATGATCTATTCATTCAAGAAAAATGCTGGTGGCCTTAACGTTATGTACATAGAGAATGTTAAGTTGCCCAGGTGATCCAGCGCAGCGTAGTCTCAGGACAGCTGTTATACCACAACACTAAATGACTTTCACAAGGACATCACCGCCTCTGTGCTCGGTCATTCTTTGCTTCACGAACATTTTAAGCTGTAACTAACAAGAAACAGATTATCGTGAAATAAAATTAACACACCTAAAACGACGCCAATTTTCCCACTTGAAGGGAGAATGAAGGGAATGTAAGAAGCAAAGACTGACAGAGAAGGGATAGAGGATGAATGAAGGGTGTGTAAGGAAGAAGAGAGAGATAAAGGATGTGTAAGGAAGGAGAAGAGAGAGATGAAGAATGAAGGATGTGCAAGGAAGGAGAAGAGAGAGAAGAATCAGTGACGTGTAAGGAAGGGGAAGAATGAAGGGTAAGGAAAGGGAGGAGAGAGTAAGAAATACAAGATAAAGGTAGAAGCAACCTGCCTGGCGAGTATACTGCTTCCATCATTCACAGGCTGGTCAACCTGTGCTATTATTACCCGGAAGTCTTCAGTAAACCAGTTGGGATTAACAACTCTGGACTAACCAAACCTTGGATTATTAAGCGTGCACTACTCAAGCAGCGGATTAATAAATCTGGGTTAAGCAAACCTTGGACGAATAAATCTAGATTAACCAAGCTGTGGACTGATAAATCTGGATTAACCAAGTACAGGATTAATAAAGCTGTAGTATCCATACCGGGGATTAACAGGTTTTTAGATTAACCGCCCCGTGGATATAAGAGTCTCAGCCACTGAGGAATGTCGCGTGACAGGCAAAACACAATCCATTAGCCACATTTCACACACTTAATAACCACTCTGTAAGAAAAATCCATCTGATAATGCTCGTGAGAGAGAGAGAACATCCCCTCCCTCCATCCCCTTGATTCCTTCCCCGTCCCTACCACCCTCCTCCCCACCTCCCCTTCCCTTCCTGTCAGCCTGCCAGCCAGCCGACTAGAGAGACGTAACCCACAAGTCACCAGGTGTCCTTATCGCTGCCTTCCATATCCTCCCTATACACCTCACGGACACGCTACCATTTACGAGATTGTGAGAAACGCCTGCAATGCGAGGATATGCAACCGTGCCACCTGCTAGAGGAGTTGGTGTGGCGCGGACGCCTTCAGGAGGTGACACCTGACGAAGCGCTGTGTATGGTGGTGGCGGGGAGTGGGGGCTGGAGGGGGCGGTGGCCGTCGCTTCCTAGGTAAGAACACACCTTCGCCAGCAGTTTCCTTCCTCACATAGCGACACACAGGGGCTTCCCTCCTGGCGCGGGTGTATGAACAGAGCTTCTCCTTGTCTCTCTCCTGTCGCAGCCGAGGGTGGTGTCGGGAGTGTCAGCCACAGCCTCAAGGCACCTGCCCAGTCCGGTGTGTGTACCTTTGAACACGGCCTTAAAAAAAAAAAACTTGTAAGTCTTAATAACTGACAGTTCATATTGTGTTGGTACACACATTGTCCCGCAGGAACTGACCTTCTGGTGTTGTATTGATTCTGGTGAATGAGTTTACTGAAATAAATGCCGTGAATACGGCACTAACTCCCGTGTTCCGAGGCAACTAGTGCGTGCATGGCGCTAACTACTGAGTGTACAATGCTAGCTACTGTTTGTATCTTCCTACCGTTTCCAGGGAGGTAGGTCACGGCCTTCGACCTGCCCGCCTCCCACATACAGGTCGCGATCCTTCACGCCGACCTTGCCGGACACTGCACCAACAGGTGAGGCTGATGACTTTATTCATATACCCAACATACTGATGTTCCTTGTGAGCGTCAATATTTTGTTGCTAATTTGTCGCGTAACTCACTTCGGGAGGGTTTTAATCATGTGATAATCTGCTCAGTTGTTCATTAAGAGCATCTTAAAAACTGTGTTTCATCTTACATAATTCTCTTTTGGACTCGAGGTCAAGTACTGAGTCCATGGTAGAGCACTTGGCTCTCTTCACCGCTGATGAGTATCTCTACTCAGCAACTATATACTAACCCCCATCTTTTTTAAATGTGGAGAGGATAATTATGGGGGTGGCTATGCCGTTAGGATAGGCATAAGTGTCCTTAGAGCATTTACCCTTGGGAATATAAGAGAGAGGCAGCCTTTGTGGCAGGCTCCTGATGCAATGGTGGTGAGAGTAGCAGGCGACTTCATAGTGGCAGTCACCTAGAAGTCTAGAAGGCAGTGTATTAATGACTGTGTATCAGTGTGATAAGTCCTGACATTTTTCTTCCACGTTCTCAGTTATTTTCTTTTTTTAGTGGGATAGCCAAGGTACAGCCAATGAATAGTTGTGGGCTGGTGTTTGGTAAGGTCCCTGTTGGCAGGTGGTGGTTGCCACCGTGAGGCAGATTCACACCACAGTTCTGATTTTGATGTGTGGGTAAAGGTCGATCGTGTTTGTCTTCGAATGTTTTGGGCAATTTGTTTAATCTTTCGTAGGATGATTGGTATGAAGCAAGTAGATGCTCATCACTAGTATCTTATTCGACAGATTCATCTGCAGTTTCGTTTCACTGGCTACTACGTGGCTTGATATCCAGGTGAGTGTGGCTACTTTCTGTACATCTTGGGCCTGTAAGATGCTCAGGATGGATGTGGCGAACCTTTTGTTGCTCTGAGGTTGAGTGTGCTGGAGCGACTGGAAAACAGCTATGGAATCTGTGCTGCTTATGCTGTTATAAAACATGAGTTAGTGCTTTCTGTCTTGCCACCAACTCAGCTTTAGTACCGAACAGTGGTCAGGGAGTCTCCATCCCCCCTGTCGAAATGGACTCCAGCTGCTGCACATGGCTGGGGCCATGCTGCGTGGCGTTGTGGGGTGTCCGTGCTGATTTGATATTTGCTCATTGAAGGACGCAATATGATAATTTTTGCCGGTTCTGGTTGCCATGGTGGTGGAGGAGTGTACTCATCTCGCAGTTCAGTTCCGTTTTTTTTTTTAATAGTTGTGGCGTAGATGGTAATTTCCTCGCTGTATCAAACATGGTTCTCAGCCATTTGTCAGTTGAGAGAACGTCTCTGAGGGCCAAAAAGTCTTATCTTTGGCGAAGAGGCTCTTTGTCGATGGAGGATTTTGTCCACTATAAAGGGTTCTCATATTTAACTCTGTTCTTGAGAGCAAGGGGCTGAACTTCCATGGTGGTGCCACAAGCATAGTTCGTATTGCCTATTCGCTCCTTGCTCTTGAAGAATGTTTAAATCAGTCCTGGCTCACCATGGTTAATAAGACAGTGGCAACGAAGAAACACTGCAGCAGGCCTATTGGCCCATGCTAGATAGGTTCAACTTACGCCCACTGTTCAACCTATATTTAAAGCCACCCTGAGTTCTTGCCTCAGTGACGCTACCTGGGAGTCTGTTCCACTTATCTACAACTCTATTGCCAAACCAGTACTTCCCAATATCCTTTCTAAATATAAATTTCTCCAACATAATCCATTGCTGCGAGTCTTGTCTTGGTTAGTTATTTTCAACACGATATTTATATTCCCTTTATTTATTCCTGTTTTCCATTTGTAAACTCCAATCATATCTCCCCTAATTCTACGTCTTTCCAAAGAGTGCAGGTGGAAGCAAAACGTGTGGAGATAATATAATCTTAACACCTCAAGATTGGCATCAGCGCGTTGGTTAATCATGGCTCTCATGGCCTTGATTCTGGAGGGTCGGTGACCTGGTGTATTCTACCTGTTTCCAAAACTTAATTACCCGCCTGTCAGTCCAACTACAGACAGTCCAGTCAATTTCCATGTTTCGTATGAAGTCTCTCTTGCTTCATTTCCTTGATCATTAGTGCCTTTGATTCCTCTGCCGAAATATTTAATCCTAGTTCCCTGCCAGTGGCGGATATGAGGTCCCAGTTTTGTTAGTCGAGGCGATGTTTAGACAGCTAGTGCGCCGCCGTCAGCACAACCGTGAAGTTTGTTATTTAGCTACATATATCCCCATGTAGGAAGCACAATGACTACATTCTGAAAGATGAGTAGTAATATTACAGTTGGGAAGGTCACTTCAACTGTGAACTTCTGTCAAGACTGCTATTAAATGAATAAAGGTGAATGTTTTTCTCACTACTGTTGTGGGAGACAGCCGATATCATAAAAAAAAATATCCCGATATTTATTCGTGTTAATATTTGAGAGTGAACGTTTACTAACCTACTCCCACTTAACCAGGCTAAAACAACCAATGAAAAAAAAAAAATTTTACCTAATGGAAGCTGAAATTATTGATCCGAATCACCCTCCATTTCCTCCCATGACCTGAAATATTCAATAAACTAAAAAAAAAAAAAATGAACTAGCAAAAAAATATGTCAGTCCTCTTAAATGGAAAGAACTCAAGCCAATATTTCCAAATAAATGAACAGTCACCATGTGAGGAATTTATTATTATTAAGACAGGGCGAAAAACATAATTAGAGAATTTTACTGCCTCGCCAAATTTACAACAGGACTTTCCTCATCACAAAGGGAAAGCTGTGAGTAATTTTTACAATACTAATTGACGTATTTGGGTAATAATTTAGTGTTTAACTGAGTAGCGAATAAAAGTATTTATTAGTAAAAAATGAAACGAAAATGAATGATCTTACATTTAATTATTATAATAACAACGTACAGAGGTAATCTATGTGTCCCAAGAACGTAACTACAAAGGTATGTAAGTGTATGGACGGGTGCATCTATGAACAAATGAATCTATGGACAATACATACATGGACAGTACATCTATGGACAGGTGCATCTATGGACAAATACACATATGGACATGTGCATCTATGGACAGGTGCATCTATGGATAAGTACATATATGGACAGGTGCATCTATGGACAAGTACATCTATGGACAGGTACATCATATATGAACACGTACATCTATGGACAGGTGCATCTATGGACAAGTACATCTATGGACAGGTACATCTATGGACAAGTACATCTATGGACAAGTACATCTATGGACAAGTATATCTATGGACAGGTACATCTATGGACAAGTACATCTATGGACAAGTACATCTATGGACAAGTACATCTATGGACGGGTACATCTATGGACAAGTACATCTATGGACAAGCACATCTACGGACAAGTACATCTATGCACAGGTACATCTATGGACGAGTACATCTATGGACAAGTACATCTATGGACAAGTACATCTATGGACAAGTACATCTATGGACAGGTACATCTATAGACAAGTACATCTATGGACAAGTACATCCATGGACAATTCATCACTGGACAAGTACCATGGTACATCTACGGACAAGTGCATCTATGGACATGTAATCTATGGACAAGTACATCTATGGACAAGTCATCTATGACAAACATCGATGGACAAGTACATCTATGGACAGGTGCATCTATAGACAAGTACATCTATGGACAAGTACATCTATGGACAAGTTCATCTATGGACAAGTACATCTATGGACAAGTACATCTATGGACAAGTACATCTATGGACAAGCTCATGGACAGTATATCTATGGACAAGTACATCTATGGACAAGTACATCTATGGATAGGTACACCTATGGGCAAGTACATCTATGGACAAGTACATCTCTGGACAGGTATATCTATGGGCAAGTACGTATATGGACAAGTACATCTATGGACAAGCATCTTGACAGTACGTCTATGGACAAGTACATCGATGGACAAGTACATCTATGGACAGGTACATCTATGGACAAGTACATCTATGGACCATTACATCGATGGACAAGTACATCTATGGACAGGTAAATCCATGGACAAGTACATCTATGGACAAGTACATCTATGGACAAGTACATCTATGAACAAGTACATCTATGGACAAGTACATCTATGGACAAGTACATCTATGAACAAGTACATCTATGGACAAGTACATCTATGGACAAGTACATCGATGGACAGGAACAGCTGTGAACTTTCACAAAATCACTACGTAACTCACTAATTACCTACACATGTTAATTACCCCACCTCGCAGCTGTACAAGTCGTGAGCAACAGAAATGGAGAAAATTATTAATGGGTTCACCTTTAATTATGGAAGCCTCACTTAGCACTTGACGTCAATCATAATCATGACAAGACACACTGAATATTTTTTTCTATTTTAAAGCTGTAAATATTTATTTAACCAGACCATATTTATATAATTGCTATATCACTAAACCATTCATCACATATTACAGAATTTACTATTAATAAATAAAAAAAAATTATAATGCATCATCCTTCATTCCACCATCACTTGCTCGAAGCTCTAATTAAAATATAATGTGATTTAATAGGTTTAAGTGATTTCCCCCCCAAAAAAAATGTATCCTCCATGCTGGTGAAGGGCTCGTGATCCGACGAAATGGAGCTACCCTCTTGTATATAACGCTGCATGACTCCTACAGATTTAGAGCTTTTTCACGAATGCAAATTAAAAATTATAGGGATATCCTAGGTTAAGTCATCATAAAATGTTACTCCGTTGTATATTTATAAAGACTACTTGTCATACTCTCAGTTTAAAGTTGTCAAGACATTGTTTATGTGCTGTAATAAGTAAAGTAACTAAGTAACCTCTGTACACTTCTCATTGTAAATAAAGTAACAGAAGTAAGGTACAAGACAGTGGTCAACACCAATACGGTAAAATATAACCAACATCTGTAAACCGAGTGTAACGTAACTTTATGCTTAAAAATCTTATTTAAACTTAG